GGATTACATGAAAGATTGGCTCGGGCTGAAGTTGGGCAGGATCTCATTGGGCTTCGTATTCCTATCAGCAAAGATGATGTTGGATACCTTGTGGAGGAGATCTGGAGGGGCAGGAGTGCTATTAGCAACCTAACTAACCGTTTGATATTGGTACCCTGGCAACGACCGGCTCGGGGCTTCTTGCCTGATCCAGAGTGGGAAAAGGAAGGACAGAAGTTCATTCCAATTGATTTGAAGAACCTCGTTTGCATGACCAAGGAGGAGGGAACTCGCCATGAGCGGGAGGTCCTCCGAGGTGGAAAGGATGTGACAGAGGTATATGACGAGAAGGTCTTGGAGAAGGTCAAGAAACATAGGGAAGAAGTGGAAGTTCATGAGAGATTCCGTTAATGTAGTATAAGCAGCTGTATAGAAATTGTACTCACGACTCTGACGGTCTGTTACTTACGACTTTATGTGTCTGATCTGCCATAATACTTGGCTATTGTTACGACCACATCAAGATAAAGATGGATTACATAACCAGAGATCAGGCGATGTGGCACTAGCCCCAGAAAGGAATAGTTGATCAAGCCATCCACTAACCCGATCCCCTGATTCAGCCTCAGGCTCCACTCCGAAGCTACGCCTTAGGCGCGTGCTAAGAATAAGACAGCCGATGAACGAAGTCGTCACAAGGGAAACCTGCTTCCTTCCATCTCGCCATTGACCGCTACAGTAGTTCCATGCAGGTCAATGGTTTATTTGTTCAGCTCACGAGTATCGTCTTAGGACATACCTGCGAAGTCTCCGACCTTGCGTGCAACTGAACCATTGCGGATTTCATCGCCAAATCGCCGATGCCTGGCGACTTTCCGCCCATGGCGGCTCACGCAGACAGGGAGAGCCTAGAGAACTCCGACGACTACTTAGACGATGGATCCCCACCACCGCGGCCAGGCTACTCCTACCGAATAAATAGGTACACTCGCCCGCTCATCGACTACGTGCGCAACGAATGGCAACCGAGCGCCAAATACACCTCCCTCTCCGCTTCCCCCGACGGGTCTGACTCCCCGCAATGGGTGCAGATGTTCATGTCTATGGTGACGGCGCCGCGCTTTCGCCGATACGCGATTATATACCTGGTGCTCCTGGTGTCTTGTCTGGGGGGGTGGCTGTTTGTGCTCTCGCCGCGGCTGGAGGAACAAGAGGCGCTGCTGCACTCGTTGGACCCGTCGACTAAGGACGATGTGGGGGGTTGGTTTGGTATGAATGCACTGCCGAGATTCGACAATATTACGCAATTGAGGGATCTGGATACTTCGTTGCTGCCTGCCGTAAAGGCGCAGAAGGACGGACAGCCTAGCTCGCGGAGGTTGATTTTCATCGGAGATGTGCATGGCTGCAAGGATGAGCGTGCGTTCCCCTTTTCCCCTTTCTCCCTTGTGTCTCGTCGTACTGATTGATGTGGGCAGTGGAATTCCTTCTTGACGAAGTCTCGTTTGACCACGACCGCGACCACCTCATCTTCACCGGCGACATGATCAACAAGGGCCCCGACAGCCCCGGGGTCGTCGACCTGGCCCGCCAGTACGCCGCCTCCTGTGTCCGGGGGAACCACGAAGACCGGGTGCTGCTGCTCCGCCACGACATGGAGGCATCGAACACCCTCTCGCCGGACTCGGACGGCGACATCAGCCCAGAACTTTTCTTCGGGCTGAAAGAGAAGGAGCGCGCTGTCGCGCGGCAGTTGTCCAACGAACAAGTGCAGTGGCTTGACGCTTGCCCCGTCATCCTGAACGTGGGCCAGATCCCGGAATTGGGACAGGTGGTCGTCGTGCATGGGGGCTTGGTGCCGGGCGTGGACCTTGACAAGCAGGATCCCTCGAGCGTGATGAACATGCTGACCATCGATTTGGATACGCATGTGCCTAGCTCGACGCGGCACGGGACGAAGTGGACCAAGGTATGCGCTACGCTCCGTTAATTTCCCCGGCAGATTGCTAAACTTACAATGGTAGCTGTTCAATAAACATCAGTCTCTGCTGTACTCTAGTCTGAAGGGTTCCGTGCCGGACCCAAAGTCGCAGGTTATGACTGTGATTTACGGCCATGATTCGAAAAGTTCCTTGTCGCTCAAGACGTATACCAAGGGTCTGGACTCTGGGTGCGTCAAGGGTGGGAAGTTGACGGCTATGGTTGTCGAAGACGGCGGGAAGCAGAGCGTCATTCAAGTGAGATGTCGCGATCATCGGAAGGAGTAGTTTCGGATTCTCATGCATTGTCTGGTGTTCGGGCGTCTACATTTAATCCCGTCAAGGGATCATTGGATATAATACGGATACATTTTTCGCTTGGTACTTATCTTACATTGTCCTCGGAGTTTAACAAGTAGGAACAAATTGGGATCTGATGACAATGGAGAAAAGACTAAGAGGGAGCCGAGCGATTCCAACTCCCATCAACGTCCCAAACAACCGGCTTCGTAAAATCTTCGTACCACACTCCACCCAGCGCATTCACTTTGATATACCCGAAGCGGAAATATTCCGGATCCTCCGCCCTACGTCTCGTCCAGTTGAACGATTCTACTGATCCATCCCCTGAGCGGAAAGCATAGAATCTCTCCACGTCGTTGACAAGCACACTAATCCCATCCACCTCGTCAGTTAGATTCTTCAGGAAAGTGAAGACGATCTCCTGCGCAGAAACAACCAGAGGGGCGCCGATCTGCGGAAGCGCACTTCCCAACTGCGCACCGTCAAGCAACGCGGCAGGCGTCTGGAGAATACTATCGAACCCCCAGCGGGCTATTCCGTTGATGAACAATCCCACCAGGAGCCCGGAATACAACAGACTCGGCCGGGTCTGTAATGTCGTCCCGGGAAGGAGGAGCAAACTGAGGATGTAGTGGTGGATGCGGAGGTTCATGTGCGGCACCACAAGGAGCGCGAGGACGGCGGCGGCCAGGACGCCGTAGACAGCGAGCATTTTGGGGAGACGGCCTTCGTTGCGGAAGGCGATGGCCTGCGTAATGGAGATGCCGCATAGGAGAGCGACGATGATGATCAGGGCTGGTATGGCGCCGGGCTGCTGTTGGATATCGTGAGGCGTGAGGCGAGATATGGGGATCTTGTCGAAGGTGTCGGTGTTGAGGGCGCCGACCCAGCAAGGCCCCAGCCAGAGAATTGTCTTGTCCCAGTGGGCGTCTAGATCTTTTAGAGTGTGCCTGACGCAGAAATAGTATAAGGCGAAGCCGACGAAAGCGCAGGGGAGGAATCTGCCTAGAGCGATGGAGACGAGCTCGTAGTAGTTTGGAGAATAGGGGGGATCGGACGAAAGGGCGACTTGAAAATAGACGATGAAGAACATCGAAGCGTAGAATGCCGCTGGAGAAGTGATGAACAGTGAGAGCAATGCTGAAACTACCACGGAGAAGGCGAACAGCGGCCAACGGATGTCCTGGCAGTCAAGTCCACCATCTTCTGCGGACCCCTTCCCATCAAAAGTGAAGGACAAGGGAAAATTGGAAGGAAATGCAATGCTTGAGATACCGTTCTTCTCTACAGATAGGAAATTGGACTGTTCACCCGTCCGACGGAGAACCCCGCAGCCGCCTTTGGCATCACTAATGAGTCCTGCATGCAGCGCAGCAGGACAGATGGCAGAGTCACCGCGATACACACCGTAGCCGCTGCTATGCCCACCTCCGAGCTCACCCCCGATGACGAGAGTCCGGTAATTGATCTCCTGCTGGCCAATGAAGTATGGTTCGAGAACCATTGCGGCTGAGCAACTCGCAGGGCAGCGGAACGCAAATGCGCCGTCATCAAACGGACGACATGCGTCACCGTTTAGACCACAGTCGGTGGCATTGGCCCTATATCTTCAGCGTGCGTCGTTTTGAGGATGGAAGGAATGGTCTTAGCTTACCATAGTCGACTCTGACAGGATAGCTTGACGGGTTCCTCATAGCCCGTTACATCTGAGCCGGGAATTGCAGAATGTAGCGACGCTATGAAAACAACTCCCCAAAAAACCAGGCAAGACAGAAGAAGCAAGACCTTGCGGATAGTACTTGGAAAGAACCTCTGCACCAAACGCCCTGGCGCCGTCTGCCAGCGGGGCAGCAAAGGCTTGATCTGGTATATATGAGGGGGCGAAGGCCCCAATACCCACGACCAGACAGCAGATACGGAACACGAAAATCGTCTTGAAGATCTGCGATGTTGTTGTTGATGCTCATGGACTGGCAAGAGCGGTTCCCTCGTGTATTGTTCCTGACCGGCTCGTGCCGAATCGGTGCTCCCGCGAGCTACCGGCATAAAGTGGCTGACCTCGGAACTTTCTTCATCGTGGAGGACTTCTAGTGGATAGTCCTGGATTCCACGCGGGACTTTCTCGTAAGAAGATGAATTTCCAGAGCTTGAGATTGATGAGGACTCCTGGTCTGGCAGCATCTTCGATTCTGTAATTCCTGTCCATGATAAGAATGGGTGTCGTGGAGGGGGATCAAATAAGATCCAAAAGTTAGTGAGGATGGACCCACCTTAGTCAGATATATTTATCCATACAACGGAATAACGGCCAGACATAGTGCCGTCTTGATTCTATACATCCTTCGTTCACAGAGAAATCAAAATGAACAGCAAAGTTATATTAAGCGCATTTATCACACGGAGGATATGACCTCTAATGAGCAAAAATAGTTTGTCAACATGCCACATTAATCGTTAGCACACGAGAGGGTATCAAATCAGCAGATAACCAACGTAACGGGAGTGAAAAATCGTCAAATCGTTTCCCACATCGCCCACCAGGCTATTTCCTAAGTGAGCCATGATAAGGGGTACAGTAATTATGTTCAGGGGTCTTAAGGGTTGCAGTCGTCGTAAGTTGGCACAGCAAGGAACGCTTGCGAAAAGTTGTCGAAAGTTTGATAGATTCAACCGTCCACTGCAGGTCAATGCTCTAGGCAAGGACCAACAGTATCGTCGTGATTAAAGACAGAATAATGACTAGACAGCGGAGCGGCCAAAACGACGACGGCCACTATAGAACATGTTAGATTGTCATGTTGTAGATTTGTCGAGACAGTCAACTTACTAGTAGCCATCAGCGTTGGCGCCCCTCACGCGGAAGGTGAACCACATGCCCTAGCAGGTGTTGTCAGAATCAGGATCCTTGGGTTACAGACTTAGGAATACGAACCACAAGAGCGGAGGCGAGCCACACGATGGCGGAGAGGAAGCTGAATGCTTCAGCAGCCTTCCAACGACCACAGGAGTTGGTGCTGTAGGTGTCAAAATGCCAGCGCCAGATACTGCCGCAGTTCAACTTGTGGACGGCATCGACAAGAATGCCGAAAGCGGCAAACCAAGCGAAAGAAATGACCACATCAACTGTAGATTTTTCCTGTTAGCGACAAGGTATCATCGCGCGTAACAGGGCAGGGAGATCAGACATACATGGCCAGGAGAAGAAGCCAGAAGAGAAAGGTATCAGCCATATGAGACCGAGTAGTATGGATAAGCCGGCGACGACTTCAGTGTAGATCCACCGTGCTTGTGGCCATGCATCAATATGCGAGAACTGATGCAGATAGTAGCCGATGACGCCTGCGACGACCTTGAGTTACCATAGTCAGTTGCGCTCCATTCATTTGATCGGTCTGGGATGCATACCGCAGCAAAGGCGATTTCTGCGACACGCAGGACAATTGAGATTAGACGTGAGACGACAGGCATTGCGATATGGGAGATTATTGGATTAGATGGTTGTTGAAAAGATGTGGTCCTTTTTTTTCACAACGAATGACTTTCGAGGCCTTGGTATTATAGACGATAGTTTGAGAATAGGCTGACTGAAAACGAATCTCACAGAGCGTTAATAGAAGAGGAAGGGGAAAGGAAATAAAGAAAAAGGGAGGCGAATGCAGTTTAAAAGCTTCGCCGGCGCAGTCGTCACACCTGGTGATGATCATCGCAAGTACTAGTCTTTTTTGTCCGCTTCTTCCATGTGCTTCGGTGTCGTCTCTGCCATCTCTGCCATCATCGCATGGGCACCGACATCTTGGTCTCAAAACGATTGGCTGCCTGGGGAAACCCTCCGGTCTGCCCAATTTTTCTGGGCACAGACAATCATTGAACCTTGACCAACTCTAACGTTGACTACAGTGGTAACCGGGACGGGTTGACCGCTCATTTGAGTGATGATTGACATTACCGCCCCAAGGCATCATGCGTTGTCCTCGAACTAGAGTCTTTACCGAGATATCTCGACAAGGATTACTGCAAGAATTGACTGCACTGCGCTGTAAGTATGGTTGTACCATTGTCTAGAATTGATAGTTGCGGCAGTGCCACAACTAAGGCTGAAGCTCTTCTCCACCAGCTCCACTACTAGGCCATTTCGGGAAAATACTTCTCAAAGTATACCAGACTTATTCTCAGCTTCATTTTTGGGTGAGGGTTATTGTTCCATTCATTTCGAGCTCTTAGACGACCGTCATAGAAATGCATGTAAAACACAGAGTACCTCATATACCTCATTACTTCAGTGGTGTGGATAGAAAGATAATCTAAACCATCTTAGGCTGAAGGATTGTTATTGTTTGGATGACGAAATCCAAGACTCCTTGCTGCCTGACGTCATCCCAGAAACCAAATGCAGCAGCCTGGAATCGTCTGACCATCGCCTGGCCTTCACTCCCCCTTCAGCCCTAACGCCGTCGACGTAGCTCTTCCTCTAGTCCTTGGCATGGATTGAGATAATTTAGCAAACACTTGGCAGCGTCACTGTAACAGTTTATTGACCAGTCTCACTCGGCTTTCAAGAAATCGCCGTAAATTATAGATGTTAGAAGCCTACTAATACGCGATCAAGAATTACCAGCAAACCAGAACGCCAAAACCAATTTTGTCAAGTAGACCCTCTTCTATCATTCTCCAAGAACCATTCCATAACCGTACGAAAACTCCCTTTGGCACCGCTCTCAATAATATCCCCATGGCACGGAATTAACCGATTAAAATCCCACTTATCGATCCTCCTCATTGACTCCGTAAACGCCTTCCGATCCGCACTCGACAGAATATACCACGCAAACCGCTTCTGCCACGTGGCCGGCGGCTCCGCCGACATCACAGTGTTGATAATCTTCGCAAAGATCCCCGATGTCGCGCCCTCCTTCGCCCGCGAGTACTGCTCCCGAGCGGGGAGATTAAACATGAGATCCGCCTCGATGAGTGTGCGCGACCGCTTATGTAGGAAGACTAGCTCCCGCGACGAATGTCCGTACACGTACTCGGACTCAAACTCCGCGTCGAACTCCTCCGAAATCTTGCGGGGTCCTTGATGCTGGTCCTCTTTCCGGAAGACGTGCGAGAACGGTGTGTTTTGGTACTTTGGGTTCGACTGCCGTTTCTCCCAGAGGCCTTCCGGGGCGATGATCTCGGCCTCGGGATATGCTTCTTTCCACGGGGTGAGGTGGATATGGTGCTCGAGATCTAGTGCCGCGATGTATTTCACCCGGCCCATCTGAGAGATCATCTCGCGGACTTGGGGGGTGAGGTTGACCGGGGAGAAGACGGCGAGGGAGCCTGAGGGCAATTTGACTGTTTAAGCTCGGTCAGATGTGTGGAATCGATGATACTCTCTTTGACAGGACTCACTCAGTGTTCCCCGTGCTCCAAACTTGAGACGGCCAAATCGTGCGAACGGCAGACTTAGAGTGATGATGTCGGAGGTGACATTTCGTATCACCATCACATCTTCTGGGTTGGATGGGAACAGCTGAGGCATGATAGGCGCTTTTTCTTTTGTTTGAACAGCTGAAGATGTCAATTCGGGCCAGAGCTCAATTGCGCTTCCTATCGCCTGTAATCAAGGGGTGCCTTGGATAATCAGGATCAAGGTAGTAGCTCAGCTTCGAAACAAAATTCATCAGTTGAATCTGGTAAACTACGAGAAATCTAGCCAATGTTGCGTGACATGAGCTGTTGGAGCTGTCAGTTTCTGGTGGGGGCGGCAATGACGTCGGTGCATCTTCCGTCGGAGAATTGATCATAGTTTAGCTCCAACGTATAGGATTAAGCTAAAATAAATCATGACTTTTCAGGAGTGTCAGCAACTGACATACGATCTTTGTTTTTATTTGGTTGGTGTTAATGCCATGAGACTCGGTAACACTTAAGGCTACAGATGTCGTTGCCCCCACACATGGAGGGATGCCACGAGATCCAGTCAGGTTGTCGTCGGGTCTATATCACAAATGTCGAACGTGTAGTTCTATTCATTGCAGCCTCGAGATGAGTATAACATCCAAAACAACATGGGTATCGCTTCTATACAATAATCACACATCTGAGGCGAACAAGGACAAGTTGCCTTTCAACTGTACCAACCACCGCCCGTCGACTGTGACTGCTCTTCGGGGCGATGCTCGATTATAGACTCCTTGATATCATATACCTCAATGAGCTGGCGCCATGTTTCAAAATCGAGACTGAAGATAGCCTGGTGTTTCTGGACTCCCTTTTTCTGGGCCTCACTCGGGGCGTACGGTTTCGAGGGATCTAGGGGTTGAACAGATCAGCTCCACAAGCCGCTCAGAGGTAGACCGGCAGGGGACTTACGTAGAGTGGGTAACTGCCGACTGTCGGTTGATATCCCGACAGTCCCATCTCGTACCAGGAAGCTGACATAGAACAAGTTCTCCACGCTTTGCCCAAATGACCTCGGGTTTATGCAAAAGTGAAAAAGAGGGACTCCTCCGTCGTCAGCGACATGATACTTGGCCATGACTTCCTGGACAAGCTCCTCTGTAGGCTCCTCCTCCATCTGAGAGAGTATTCTATCCACAGTGTCTTGGCCGTGGGTTACCGTTTGCGCGAGCAATTTGTTTATCTTGGCGCACATGGTCGTGAGGTTCGACGTCTCCTGCCTGTCGAGGTCCTTCTCCTGGAGCTCCTGTGGTCGAACCGCCTGCGATGGGTCAATGCGCTCTCTCGCTCGACGTTGCGTCACTAGACGGGTGCGCTTCTGTACGGACAACGGCCCCAAAAGAAAACTAGAAACTGAAGGCCGGGAGTTATGGCGGAAGCAGGCAGCCCGCCCCAGCCAATCCCAGTTCATTGCGTCTCCAGTCTCGTCATCGCTCTCTTCCGGATCTGCTCGACTGCGGCCGGAAGGACGAGGCCGTCGACGCTGCGTGCTAGATGATGCGGCGTCTGGATCACTTGGGCCGCGGCGCATAAACGATATACACTTGGACACAAACTCGTCGACATCAATACCCGCGGACGCATCTCCCAAGGTAAACTGCGCTGTTTTCTTATACCCCAAATCTGCGGCAGTCACCAGGAGACGAGAGTCGATGGTCGCATCCGACGTTTGCTTGACGTTTTGGAAGATCTCATTGGCCTTTTCGATGGTCTCTCGAATACCGATATTCCCTGCTTGCATGTACTCGTTCCTGCAGTCTGCACCAGTGTTAGAATATGCGGTTTCCTTCATGCTTGTAATTATATAAGTGCTAGAAGAGCAGAATTACCATTTAATTCTCGATGCAACTCTCGCAGTTCCCTGCGAATGCGCCTTCTCTCATTCTCATCCTGATCTGGATCGTAGTACTTCTTATCTTTGTCCCATCGTTGAGACTGAGACAGCTGGGATTGACTTCCCTGGATGTTGGACGCTCGCTGTCCCAGTCGCTGGCGTTTCGCGTTGGCGCCTGAAGATACCATGGTCTGGGTCGTGGCCCTCTTACGGGCTATTGAGGAGTTCTGGCGGTTCTCTTTATCTGAGGAGGATTCAGGCGACGAAGATCGACTTTCAGCCTCACGAGCACGCGCAATCCCTGCCATAGTCTTGGGCTAGGATTTAATGACAAACGGAGCACAAAGGAGTAGAAACGTGGTGGCGATTTGATAGGGTCTAGAGCGGTGAGCGCGACGAAGCTGAAGGGCTGAAGACCACAGTGATGAGACAAAATTTCAATTAACCTGAAGAAAAATATTTGGCGACAATATAAGCTCGGTATTATCACCTTGAGTCAACACCGATGCGGTTTCATACCCTAATCGAGTGGAAACGATGGCAGAATACGGAGCATCATTATGATATCTGCCCGCGCGACGCGTGCCCGTTCCAAAGCGAATAAGAACCCTCCACTATTACCTCTTTGGCTGATAGCAGTCACGTGATTATGGAAGCTGATCCCCCATCATCATGCAACAAGCAACCAATCAGAAGTGCTCTTACGAACTTCCCCAGTTGACCCCACAGCGAAGTCGTCGACCTTATCTAACCTATGTACCTTACTTGGAGACTCCCCGACCTCCTTGTCACACGGAACGGCTAGGAAAGAAGTAATACTGGTGATGAGGGACTTATAGGTCTCTGGACTAATGGAGGCATTCACGTTTGCCGTGTCCACGCAGGTGGACTTTCCAATCCATGTCAAGATGTACGTCTGGATTAACGCCCGACGTGCGCCGAACCTGGAAAATAGGAAGCTAACCGGTTCAAAGTGGCTCCCTGGAAGGAAAGCAGAAGCAGATCCCACTTTCAGTCCTATACAAGCGACCGGACCTGCGACACATCGGCTCCATCCAGAACCCAACGTCCGACCTGTTTGTGACAGTTCAACTATGGTCAGATTCCAAGCAACTGGGTGTACCCATGCAGAGTTCGTACAAGACTTTCAAGTCCGTTCGAGCCTGGAATGAATGGCTACAGATGCCCATATCCATCAAGGATGCTCCTCTGAGCTGTCAACTTGCTATCACTATTTGGGATCTCTCACCATTTGGCGGCAAAGGGGCTGACGGTCACTACATACCGTTCGGCGGAACAACAGTACCACTGTTCGATGAAGATGGTAAGCTGAAAACAGGACGGCAAAAGTGCAAAGTATATCGGCATAAAGCAGCAGATGGCTTCTCGTCGACGACCACCCCATCGACTCCACCTCCGAAGCGACGCAAGACCAGTGCCTCCGACGTTCTTGGCCCTTCAGTCGAGGAAACGGAGCTGGAAAGAGTGGAGGTGTTGATCAAGAAACATGAGATGGGGGAAATACCCCGAATCGACTGGATGGATCAGATGGTCTTCCGCCAACTGGAGAAGTTGAAGCTGAATGCTGAAGAAGCTGCGAGGAAGAGGGCGATCCGTCTCAAAGCGGCCAAGAACAAAGCGCCAGAGACACCAGGCGCTGACGGTGTAAATTCTGATGAGGAGGAGATAGATGATGAGAATTTCGTCCTGTATATCGAGTTCCCGCGCTTCGATCATCCGATTGTCTGGACTGACCACCAGTACCCGCCCCCTCCGATCTCATCGTATTCTCAAAATGCGCCCGCCAACCCTAATGCGGCCCTGAAACCCATTCCTGAAGTCCGCTTTGGACCAGGAATTGAAGGTGCGAATGGTGACGGTGTAATTCGAATTTACGACCCGGAAGTCGGTCTGACGGGAAACCCCTGTGAGGACAAACATAGAAGGTTGATTCGAAGCCATCGGACTGGCATCATGGACCGTGACCTGAAACCCAACCCTAAGATTCGCGACGAGCTTAACGTCATTGTATCATATGAGCCAACTCAGGACCTTACAGCAGAAGAAAAAGATCTGGTCTGGCGTTTCCGGTATTACCTTACCCGTGAGAAAAGGGCGCTCACCAAATTCGTCAAATCCGTGAACTGGCGCGACGCCGGTGAAGCCCAGCAAGCGGTAGAGATCCTTCCTAAGTGGACGGAGATTGACGTTGATGATGCACTGGAGCTTCTTGGACCGACTTTCGATAATACTGCTGTTCGTTCCTATGCTGTAGACAGGCTTCGAAAGGCAGACGACGAGGAGCTGCTCTTGTACCTTCTGCAGCTGGTACAAGCGCTGAAATATGAGGAAAGTTCTCGGGGCGACACTGAAGGCGCCGCCCATGACTCGTCCTTGGCAAATTTCCTCATCACCCGCGCTGCCAACAATTTCAAACTTGGAAACTATTTGCATTGGTATCTCATGGTTGAATGTGATGATACTAGCCCCGGCACCCTGTCCACTCAACGCAGACTTTTTGCTCGAGTAGAATACTACTTCATGGCCGAGCTCGAACAGGTCTCCCCAGAACACAGGAAGACGCTATTGCGGCAGGGTGAGCTTGTCGCTGTACTCACGAAGATTGCCAAGGATATCCGCTTCGCTCGGGAGACTCGACCTCTGAAGATCGAAAAGTTGAAAAAGTACTTGAAAGATCCCAAGAACGAACTCGTCCATATCGATCCACCACTACCTCTTCCATTAGATCCAGAAGTGTTGGTGACAGGTTGCTTTCCCGAAGAATCTAATGTGTTCAAGTCCTCACTGTCACCATTGCACATTACCTTCAAGACGTCTGAGGGACGCAAGTATCCCATTCTGTTCAAAGTCGGTGATGACCTCCGGCAAGATCAACTTGTCATTCAGATCATCATCTTGATGGATCGTCTACTTCAAAAGGAGAATCTGGACCTTAAGCTCACCCCTTACCGTATCCTCGCGACGAATGCCACAGCTGGCGCTGTCCAATTCATACCATCAACCTCGCTCTCCGCCGTCTCTGCAAAGTACAAATCCGTTCTTGCTTATCTCCAGGCAAACAATCCTGACGAGAACGAGCCTCTTGGTGTCCGCAAGGAAACCATGGACACGTATGTTAAGTCCTGTGCAGGATATTGTGTCATCACCTACCTTCTCGGCGTTGGAGACAGACACTTGGAGAATCTTCTACTTGCACCAGACGGTCACTTTTTCCACGCAGATTTTGGATTTATTCTGGGTCGAGATCCCAAACCCTTCGCTCCTATGATGAAACTCTGCAAGGAAATGGTGGAAGGTATGGGTGGTACCACCTCCCCTCAATACCTCCAGTTCAAGCAGCACTGCTTCACCGCGTACACAACGCTGCGCAAGTCGGCAAACCTGATCCTCAATTTGTTCAGTCTGATGGTCGACGCCAACATCCCTGACATCCGTGTGGAACCGGACAAGGCTGTATTTAAAGTCAAGGAAAGGTTCCACCTCGAGATGACAGAAGAGGAGGCCATCCGCCATTTCGAGCAACTCATCGGTGACAGCGTGAATGCCATATTCGGTGTGGTCATCGATCGGCTGCATGAATTCGTACAGGGCTGGAGAGCGTAGAGTTGAGTTTAGATTGACTTTGACTAACATCAAATCGTGACTTCCATTTTCTGATGTTGGCATGACGTGATTGGTGTACTCAGGAGTTACGGATGGATGTCACGAGAATCTGCTGAATGATACCCTGTATAGAAGCTCTGTTCTATACTGATTCTTCCTCTACTTCCACATAGATCATCAAGACACTAAACTCAAAGAATTGTAGTATTTTGTATTCTGCGCCGTAGCACTTTTATCGTCGGAGATCGGAGACTCGAACTCAGCCTAGTCATCGTCCGCTCAATTGGCATCTCAGAGCCGTTCGTGTTGCTATCCTCCAATACCATAATGCGAAGGTAGTATAGAATAAATATTCGTCTGCGAGATTCTTGCAGCCTACCTGTCGCCGCTTTTGCTCTGCGTCGCGGGCGTCTCCGAACATTCCATAGCGGATTGTCTCACAGCCAACAACCAGGACGTTGACGGATTGTGAATCCATGAAAATTTTGAATTGATCCTGATGTCCTTGATATCTTTGGTGTTAGTGGAAGAGAGAGCGTCGGTCCGAATAAGGCAACTATCCCTCTTCTTATCTCTCTTATCTTCTTCGAGATAACATGCCACCGCCTCTTTCACCGCTTTTGACTACTTCTGTCAAACCCAAAAAGCGCAAAGAAATGCGGAACATCCCAGCATGTCAACGGGGACTACAATGCGTTCCTTCTTCTCACACTTCGGTCACCTCTCATCTCGATAATGTTCGAGACATTATTACACCATCATCTTTACAGACCACCTTTGCAGATCTCCAGTTGAGTGGTCTCTTTGCGATGGCAGCCAAATTCATTCCGCGGCAGGCATTTCCCAGCTATGCCTCCATTCCAAGATCATATTATCTTGGCCATCACAGAGCCGGATTGAAGAAGATGCAGAATTTGCTATCTTCTATTGACTACGTTATCGAGTGCCGTGACTACAGAGTACCCGTAACATCTATTAACCCAATGTTTGAAGAGGCTTTGGGAAAGACAAGGCGGTTAGTAGTTTACACCAAGCGGGACCTGGGTGCGGAGCCTCGATCATCTGCACAGCAATTGGTAAGTCCAGGAACAAAGTTTAGCTCATGATTGACATGATAACTGACGGGTGCTTCTGTATGTAGGCCGAAAGGACTATCAAGAAGTTTGATTCGAGTAGTGCCGTGTTTTTCGTCAGCTCCTCCTCCCGCGCGGATGTCAGTTCGATTCTGACACATTTGCGAAATGATGCTGAAGGGCCTGATAAGCTCATCGGCTGTCGCGTGATGGTTGTTGGGATGCCGAACGTCGGCAAGTCCACCCTGATCAACAATCTGCGCAACCAAGGCGTCAGAAAGGCCAAGGCTGTGCAGACGGGAGGCCAGCCTGGTATTACACGGAAGATTGGGACACCCGTCAAAATCATTGAGCGGGACAATGGAGCACATGTTTACGTTTTGGACACTCCGGGGGTTTTCATGCCCTATGTGCCTGATGCGGAGAAAATGCTGAAATTAGCTCTCTGTGGTTGCGTGAAAGATTCAGTAATTTCACCAGTCACATTGGCGGACTATCTTTTATATCATATTAATCTGCATAACCCGGGGCAGTACCAGCGCTGGTCTCAACCTACAAACGAGATCTCGCCTCTCCTGGACAGCTTTGCTCGGCAAACTGGTCTCCTTGCCAAAGGAGGTATACCTAACATTGATCTTGCCGCACTTCATTTCATTCAAAAGTGGCGATCTGGAGAGCTAGGACGTTTCATACTTGACGATTTACAGGCAGAGCAGCGCCGCATCGAAGAAGGAGTTGAGAACGACGTGGGTATCAGTATATCCCAGGCCTTGAAGGCCGAGCGAATGGCGAGAAAGCAGCCTGCCTCTGGTTCTTAAAGCAACGAATGATATAATCAATTGTACAGTAGGACATATACCTCTCTGTTGGTATCATTAGTGAGCATCTTTTGTGCGCCCCTCAAAATGCATAATGTTATGAACCCAGCATAAATAAGAACATGATATAGAATGAAAACGAGGACAGACAACAAATAGGAAGGATGACTTAACGCCTGTTGGGAGGAGGAAAACCAGAAATGTCGAGCACAGCAACCCAAAAAACCACAATCGGCCTAAGAAATTTTGTCCAGCAGGCGTCGTCGCCTCCGGTCCACAAGCTCCTCTTGCACTTCTTCCAACGTTGGCAACCTCCATTCAACCCCATCGCCAGCGTCGCCGGGAAGCGGCTCCCACCCATCCTCCACATCACCGTCCTTCTTCCCTCGTAGATGCTCAACAGCCTCCTTCTCCTTCTGCCTCTCATACGCAAGCAACGATCCATCCTCTTCATCCAGCCCATACCCGAAGTAATTCGCATCAACCTTCTTCGTAGCAATATCCCCACCCCGCCCTTTTCCTTCCTCCTCCTCTTCCTCGGGCGGCCTTCTCCCCCGTCGCGCTGCAGCCTCAAACATCTCTTTGACACCAGGTAACTCCCTCGCGCGCCCAAAGTACCGATACCCCTTCCCACCACCGGGGATCTCCCGCCCCTCGTCATCATACACACGTCCCGAACCACGCATATAGTTCGGCCCACCCAGGTTCCGAATCTGCATTTCCCACGCCCATTTCTCGCGCATCAGCTTGTTGATTTCATCGTTCAGGTCACGGATCTGGTAGTCGGATAGACTGGACTCTTGGATGCGGGACACCTTGCGCGAGATTTCTTTGAGGACTTGGCCTCGCCATTTCTCGCAGCTGGGGATAGAGTCCACGGAGGTGATGGCTTTGGGCCGACGCGTCCGTCCAATGTCGATGATTCCGAGATCCGCGGCTTGTTGCGCCCGGAAGCGGAAGAGCATCGACTGTGCTTTCTCACTGTTACGTGCCTGTTAGGAAAGACGTGCGGTTAGCATGTTGACTGTGCAGTTTGGAGACAGGATGGTCCGTCGCTTATTCGCGCCCAGAGAATTTGTGAGGGACTCACCATGATGATGCACTGGACGAGACGAGTTCAATTGAGATGCAATGTCAAAAGGAAGATGGGGGGAATGGGAGCCCAACAAAAGTACTCCGATTAGACTTGAGAAGCTTGAGTGGGGAGTGGAGATTCCGCTCAGCTAAGCGAGCGTTAGTTAGAAGCGCGCGGCTGTTTACGGAGTTGAGCAGACAACCATTCAGAAAGAGCATCTTCTAAGACAATCCTATCGTGGTATTATTCAAGTTTGTTTCCAACAAACGCCACTAAGAAAGACACGACTCTCCATAAAGTTACTATTATATCAAGATCGATGGTTCCAAAGTGATGGAACGGACTAAATGCAGACAGCCGCCCTTAACCAAGAGGTAATGATCAGCACAATCAGCAAACCCAGCATGTAAATCATGAGACGCATGAGGCAAGAAAAACATATACAAATCAAAAAGAGAAATCTATTAATAGGTCATCTCCAGGTCCGATCAACACCGGACTCATTCATAAGTGTCATTGCATGGGTCTCTCAGGAAACTGTAGCAGGATCAACCTGCTGTATCATAATCCTCAGAGGAAACCTTTCGTGTTGCTCGGCATTCTCTGCGGCAAGTCACTCGCCCCGTAGACACTGCTACCCCTTCTGCTTCCAACATCGCTGAAGGTCACATGCGGCCTCCCAATCGTACTCCCTCGTTCGGCGCGCAGGGTTTTCAACCCATCCAGATCACGCTCTAATCTTAATGCCTTGTCACGTGCTTCACGTAGCTCCCTTTCAACTCGGCGGATCTGGAGCTGCGCCTCCGAGTCACTTTGCTGAAGCTCCTCAATGTTGCGAAGCAGACGCTCGATCTTTTCACGCCCCTTGTTGACGTCTTCCTCCAGTTGCGCGTTCAACTTGTCGCGCCGCTCCAACTGTGACTGAAGATCCTTGACTGTACGGTCGACATTGCGCAGTGACCGTTGTTCCGAGCTGTGCTTGTTCTCTTGCTCTTCGAGATGTGTCTCCAACTGTTTGATTTGACTCGTCAGTATCGTGGACGAAGCATTTCCGTGTGCTTAAAACCTACCTCTTTGATCCTCTTGTGGAGGAATCGAACATCCTGACTGCCTGTCGAGTAGCTCTTGGTCTCTAAATCGACACATCGCAACTGCGACTCCTTGAGTTGTTTCTCTAGCGCAGCCTTATCCTTGAAGAGCTGAGCATTTGCCTCCCTTTCAGCAGTGACTTCCTTCTGCATTTCAGTCACTAGAGCTTCGGCTCGCCTCATCTTGCCAACAGCGGCAGCTGAGACATCTTCTTGTTGAGCGAGTTTTGACTTCAGCTCTAGGAGCTCGCGGTCCATACTGGCGGCGTTGCGCATAGACGGACTTTCGCCCTTGGCGAGTTCCTCCAGTCTCTCGGCAGCCTCAGCCAGCCGGGCTTCAAGCATCTTCTTCTCCTTGAATAACGTGTCACGCTCTGCCGTAATGTCGTCAAACGAGGTTCGCAGACTTCGGACTTGTGAAAGGAGGGACACAACTCTGCCTTGGGCTTCATTATGGGCGTTGACAGCCTCATCACGAGACGTAGTGACATCCTGTAATGTGATCTCCATCCGAGCTTTTTCTTTAGCCCAAGTGGAGCTGTTCAGGACTTCATTATCCCACTTGCTACGGAGGTCCTCCAGTTCCTCCCGAAGACGAGCGTTCTCGCTACGAACATTGAGCACCTTCTCTCGTTCCATCTCGAGCTCATTGTTGAGCGTAGAGAATTCCCTTTGGTACTTCAGCCTCGTCTGCTCCATTGAAGTTTCTTTGTCTTCGATGTCGATCGCACGCTGATTCCTGTAATCTTCAAGTTCATTTTGCAAGCGCTGTTTCGCTTGAAGGGCTCCTTGCAGCTCGGCTGCTTGATCCTCCATCCTAGCCTCTAGCATCTGGGTCTGTCTTTGCAGGTCTTCCACAAGAGCATCCATCTGTTTGCGCTCAGCCATAATTTGCGCACACGTCTCCTCTGCCTCTTGGGCTTGTGACTTGGCAAACTGCTCCGCGCGACTGGCTTTTAGGACGGCGATTTCTGCTTGTTCGAGCTTGTTGAAATAGTCATCCGCCCGACTCTTGTACAAACTCAAGCTGGAAGCGAGATCAGCGGACTTGGACGTTTCCGCATCCAGCCGTATCTGCAAGTCGGAGAACTCCTCGAGAAGCTGATTCCTGCTGACGGCATCCTGCTCCCTGGCAACCTGCAACTCTTGCGCTTCGGAGAGTGCGTCTCGCAGTTCCACCTCAAGAGTAGCTTTTGCTCGTTTGAGCTTCTCAAATTGCGCTTTGGCCTCGGTGAAATCGGCCATGGCCTCATTATGGACTTTGAGCAAGGATCTTCGAGACTGTTCCTGAGAATTGATCAGATCATAGAGCTCCTCGTGCGATTTTGCCTGAACGTCACGCAGCGATAGCTCTCCAGATCGGATGCTTCTCTCTAGGGCGGAAACTTTTTTGGTGGAATCGTCCAGTTGGTCATGAAGGCGGCCATTTTCGCGCTCCAAAAGCTGCATACGTCTGAGAGACGGGCTCTCATCCTGCCATAGGTCTCGGACAGGTTTGAGTTGTTCGAGTTGATTCTGGAGATGACGGTTCTGCATCTCGCTCACCTGGAGTTTGTTCTGAAGCTCTTCGATTTCAGTAGCGAGATCCATGCGTTTCTGGTAGCCGATAGTGTCCACTGTGCGATCTGACCGACCAGAATCCATTGTAGCTTCGTTGAGATTCAATCTCCGGTTAGGTGTCGTTGGGGTAGCGAATTTCTTGACGAGACCATTTTCTGAATTCTTTCTCAGATGTGTCGGGGTACGATTACCGGCTACCTGATTCTGGTCAATCTCTTCAAGCAATGCACGCTTGGATGAAGAGTAACGGGCGTCCAGCTCCTTCATCTCGTCCTCGTGTCGACGCCGCATTTCTGCAAGTTGGCTCTCTGCTCGATTATACTTCTCCTCCGTCACTTGAAGTTTGCTCTGAACGGTATCTAGCAGTTGGGCTAGATTTACTTTCTCAGCCAGGTCTGGCTGAATGGACTCCCATGATTCCGGCGGCTTGTCTGACAGAGGCTCCACGAACTTGTGTAGAAGCATCAGCTGGCGGTGTAAGGTCTCGATTTCCTTGTGGGCAGTGTCGAGAGATCCCTGAAGCTTTCGTGTGTTTGCCTGAGCCTGAGTTCGCAACTGTCTCTCTGTTTCCAGGTTCCTGTTTGCTTCGGCAAGTTGTATACCGGCAGTTGAGGCGGCCTTCTCAGCATTGCGACTGGCCTTATGTTCCCTGTTGACCTCATGGTTCAGATCCTCCAGACTCAATGACAACTTTTCTTTCTGCTTCTCTAAAGACGTAATGGAAAGTTGCAGGTCTCCGAGTTGTCTAGTCAGTTTTCTGTTATCTTCTTCCAATTTGGCCTTTTCCCTCTGCAGGTTCGTTATGCGGAGACGCTGGCTCTCGCTGGCCTTTGAGTTGGACCTGGCAATGTCCAGATTTTTCTGTTGGATCTTGGTCAAAAGAGCGCGATTGTCGTTTTCGGAGGCTGTGAGCCTGCCTTTAAGCGTAACCAGCTCTCGTTCGAGGCGCTCTTTGTGCTGGTCATGGCGAATGCGGAAGTTTTCAGACTCTGCAATTGCATTGGTAAGTTCTTGCACTCTCACTGAGAGACGAGATCGCTCTTCCTCAACATCCTCCAGCTGACGCGCCTTTTCCTCTAGATCTTTTCGGACGCTATCCAGACGCTCGTTGGCCTGCTTCTTCACATTTCGCTCGATCTCAGCCTCCGCGTTCAAGCGGGCACTCTCCACTTTGGTGAATCTATCGCGAAGTCTAATAAGCTCGGCCTGGAGCTCCTTGCGAGACTGCTCCGCAGCTACTCGCGCTTCAGTCGCACGGCGAAGCGAGTCCTGCTGAATGTACATCTCTTTCTCTATGATGATCTTTGATTCATTCAAGGAGGCGTACTTATCCCTGAGCTCCGCAAGATTGTGCTCAGCAAGCATTTGGACATCGTCTCTCGACTGTCGCTCACGGCTAAGATCGGCCTGTGCCTGAAATAGTTGATTCTTTAGGTCGTGAATTTGCTGCTCAAGCAGTTTCCTACTCTCGCCAGCCTCTGCATCCTCAGAAATCTTCTCTTCGAGAAGCTTCTTGACGTCGGCGACCTCACGTTCAAGCTGACTTTTTTCAGATTTCATTGCGTCCGACTCTGCCTGCAGCTCTCGAAGTCGCTTCTGCATATTATCATGGCGTGTTGACAGGGCTCCTTTTTCCGTCTCTAAGTGTTCCTTCTCTTCTTGATGCTTCTTGGCGTCATTTCGCAGAACAGCAATTTCACTTTCTTTTCGTCTGAGCATTTCCTCATATCCAGTAGATGTGGAGGAGAGATCAGAAATCTGTTGCCGGATAGAACGATTCTCCTCGACCAGCTCCTTGATCTGCTTTTTCGACTGCTCCAGATCTTTGGATGTATTTGCAAGCTTGATGTCAAGATCCTGGTCCGTTTTGAGCAATTTCGCTTCCAGGTCTTGAATTTTGCGGTCTTTGAGACTCAGGTGGCTTTGGAGCATTTTTATTTCCTGGTCTAGCTCCTTAACACGGGCTTCCTGCTCGGCGACAGAGCTCTGGGCCTCCTCCAGTTGACGGTCAAGGGCATCGAGGCGGGCCTGTAGATCTCGTTTCTCGGCTTCCAGCCGTTCAATGATCTCGCCGGCCTGTTCGAGCTGCGTAATGCGATGGCTAAGCTGCTCATCAGCCTTTTTCTTTGCGGCTATCAGAGTATCTAATTGGTCCTCGAGACTCTCTTGGTCCGCAATGGCTCCAGCCAGTTTTTCGGTTAACTCGATCTCACGAAGCTGCAGTCTTTTGAAGATCTCCTCTTTGTCAAGAGCCAGGGCTCGTTCGCTTTCAAGTATGTGTTGGATTTTCTGAATCTCAATCTCCGTACGCCGTCTTTCTTCATCAAGCTTCTGGCGTTCAGCAATGTCCTGCTTCATCTTGGCTTCCAGCTCTTTAATCTTTTCATCCCGTTTCTTGACTTCATTAGCAGTACGTGTCTCTCCCAAGAGAGGCTTCATCCTCGAGAATAACCGCCACCAGGGATTCCGCTTCATATCTAAATATATTTGGAAGTTATGCTGGATGATTCTCGTAGCCTCCGCCCGGTATAGGCGTTTGTTTGAAATCCGCCGCTGGATGAACCCTCTGGCTGCAGATTGGAACTGAGTCATGATAGTCCGAATGAGCTGATCCCGTTGTTCTTCGAGCTCGGCCAAGACACCCGCTCGAAAGAAGACCTTTGTCCGACCTACACGGTACCAGGCCGGATCTAGACCAAGTCTTTGGAGCATATTGTGGGCGACACTCTGTCCATCCATATACCCTTTGGGCATGTTGGGACAGAGAACTTCATATCGCTGTCTGAATTCCATAAATGAGAGGCGATTCGGGAATCCTGTACGAGCAATTCTGATACCTTCAAGGACACCATTGCAGCGTAGCTGGTCTAGGACAAGGGGAGCATTTAGCATCTTGGGACGCTTCTTGTGATTGGGTATAATACAACGAACGAAATGAGGATGGGTCTGATGGAGTTGGTTCATGAGACTTGACAGCTGCTCTTTATGCCGCTGTGCAACGGTGCGGAAAAGACCTTTCTTGACTCTGCTTTTGGGAAGGTCATTATCCTCATCCGGGTCGCCGCAGTCAGAAAAGAGGCTGGCGACATGTTTGTCTTTCGATCGTGCAAGGAGACGTGTCACGTTGTCATTCAGAGGGTGCTTATTTTTCTCAAGCCATCCCTCGGTGTCGTATTCTACCTCAGCAGCGTAATGAGTCAGAACAAACCCTTGGCTCAAGCGGGAGGCGCGATATTTGGGGGACTTTCGGTCCCAGAGTGAATGCAGTTTGTCTGTGAATGAGCGATCTGTGGCTTTCGGCATAACGCTGTCCTCGTCCAAGCATGAGAAGATACCAATAGGGTTCGTCAGCTCGATCAGATCAATAGTCGGTTGCAAGTCTTTGCCAAAGTCGATGAACTGCCATTCGATTTGCTCCCGTGCATACTCTTCCTGCTCAAGGACAAACATGTGATGATTGAAGAACTGCTGCAGCTTCTCATTAGTGTAGTTGATACACAGTTGCTCGAAGCTGTTGTTCTTGAAAATTTCGAAACCAGCAATATCCAGGACGCCGATGAAGAAGCTATCATCGCCAGCCATGGTACTGCGATCTAACCGACTATTGATGCGGTTGACAAGATCCCCAAAGCCTCGCTCATAAATACCTTTGGCGAGAGCGTCCAGCGCCAGTCGAACCTGCTCTGGAGTTTGGACCTTTTCCACCCACTCCCGGCCTGCCTTTACCCTCGGATGGAGCAGCGCTTTCACAAAGGGCTCTGCCGCTATCCCTAGCAACTGGCAAGCCCTCTCGACGCTATTCAATGGGTCGGGGCCCAAGGCAGCTTGGTCTGCACGCAGGCTTTCTTTGACAATAGTGATATTCCCCAGATGGAGCACCGCTGCAACCGTCCGAAGAATACACATCTGGTCCTCTTCGGAGAACTTCATAACGTGGAATGCCTCGATCAGCGCATTCCACTCATCCACGTCAGACACACCGGCGATGCTATCATTACCGTCTCTGGTGTACGCAAAATTCTCGATGTGCAAGTCTGCTAAGAGCAAGCTTTCCCGCATCTTCGGGTCGGCGCCTTGCAACAGCTGGTAAAATATGTGATAATTTCTCTCATGACTGTTAGGTTTGACCACTCGAGATTTCTCGAGAAGATACCAGTCAATCGAGGCACCGGAAATTTGACCAGAGCGGGTGAATTCAATGCGTATAAATTTTCCAAATCGAGACGAGTTATTATTTCGGACAGTTTGGGCATTTCCAAATGCCTCCAGTATTGGGTTTGCCCTCAAGATCTGCTGTGAGAGTGTAGACAGCTGCTTAGATCCTGAACGAGCATAGGGAGTATCGGCTGTCGCCACTGCTGCAAGGTACTGAATGACCTTCTTGGTATTCTCGGTTTTACCAGCTCCGGATTCACCGCTATGCTCCAATGTCAGATATTTTAGTTCTCACGAGCTTCTCGAGGAGAAACATACGTCACTAGAATGCTTTGGTTCTCACCCTCTTCGACGAGATTCCGAAAGGCTTCATCAGCCATAGCGAAAATGTGAGGTCGAGTTTCTTCTCTGCTCCGACCTTTGTACATTTTCACGTACTCGTTTGTGTAAATCGGCAATGGACAGTACGGATTGATTGTGACCAAAAACAAGCCGGAGTAAGTCTACCGATGGCTAAATCAGACCACAGGGCCTCGTTTCTTAGGGACCATTCGGGACAACTCACATATATCAGATCTGCCTGGTACCGGGAGTGCAGGTTATGCACCACAGATGCCTCATTTAAATGGGTGAGTTCTGCCATATCATCGGCCTTGTCAAACTTCGCCGGATTGACCTTATCGACTTGGTCTGCTTCGACCTCTCGTTGCTGCCATGGCGATGAGCGTGAATTTCTTTATGAACTCGATGGACTTCGAGTTGTCATACCTCTCCATCTTCACTCTGGACCAACAATTTCCCATCTCCTCTTTCTTCTAGAACCAGACCACGAACAAATGCTCTCTCGGGGTGACGTAACCAGACGTATTTGTTCCCTGAGAAGTCATTGTCTCCTTCCAGACCTCGGATCTCGTCCACCCCTCGTCGTAGTTCTTCTGACTTGATGAACTCGGGCGCAAATGTCCCCGATGTCGCATCGTTTCTTAGAGAATTCGATCTCTGCCGGGTCACGGTTCGTTTGAGACTGGACGGTGACAATTGCGAAATAGACGCCGAGTTTCGGAAATGACTCTTCCCCTCTTCGAACTTCGAAGGTGACGTTACAATGGCCGACTTTGGCCGCAGGCTTCTGGTCTGTGGAGTAGATGGCAAAGCAGATGGAGTTGACCGACCAAAAGGGTTGGCACGCTTTGGTGAGGCATTCAACTGAGAAGGTAGCATTTTGTCGTCGATTCAGTGCAGCATCATTCGTAAACAGAGCGGGACAAGGATAATGTAATCAAGGTCATAAAAGGGCTCTGAGCATGAGGAATTGTCTCTCTAACAAGGTCATTAATCTCCAATGATAAGGGAAAGCCAAAACATAATATAAAGACAAGGCAAAAGAAATACTGTGTGCTTTGAGAACAAAGAGATGCAGACGGAGACTCAGTAAGGCATGAGTGAACACAGCTTGAACCCAAAGTACCTGCACATCTGCATTGTGATGGGGCCCACTGTTTGTTTACATCCGTCATGCTCTGGTTCCTCAGGCGGCGGAGCAGATCTTGCGCTAGTCCCGATATGTCTGTACGCTGGTCACGTGGTTTTCGCGGCACGAAACTCGATCCTCAATTCTCGCAAAGGCGCTTCACTTCTCCCGTCTCTGACGACCCTCGTTTCTCTCCCCATATCTTACACCACGATCGTCTGAGAATAGACATAACCATAGACATAGCCCTATTCTCATGTGTCATTTATGGTTTGAAATGTGAAAAAGAGTAGTCTTCTGCTCTTAGATTTAGTGTCTCCGATCCACGACTGCTGACACTCATGCAAAGCTGCATACTATATGATGTGCGACGCCTGAATCCGTGAAGCTAACACAGCTCGCGTCTTACTTACACAGTACAATACAGAATCTTACCGGAATCCTCTTGTGTTGAATTACCTCACTTGATTTCTTACCCAAGCATGCCGCAGCATCCCCCAGCGCCTTCAATAGGCGGTCCGCCTCACACCCAGCAATGGTCTCGCTCGCATATTTTTCCGTCGACTTCCATGCCATCTTCACTTGCTCCCCATATACCCTTCAGTCAAGATATCTCATCGGCTCAGCAGCCACAAGACAACGGCAACCAACCCTTCAACTATAACGGCTTGACCAACCTCAATATGACTTCGAATCTTCCTGGTTTAGGAGGTCCTGTAGCGGGATTACCTCTACCACCACCGCCTTTTCCCTTCATGGGCCCGTTCACGCCGTCACAGTTTCACCCTCATTCGTTCCCACCCATCCAGATGCCTCCGTTGAGATACCCGCCATTGCCGTTGCCCGCAGCCAACAGCCAAGCGCCGAGTCGCCCCTCATCGCGTGATCTCCGTTCGCAAGCAAATTCGATGTCCATGAATGGTGCTGACTCTCGAGCCACCACAACACCGAGTACGCGGAAAGATTATGATCGAGAAGAAGGTGAACTTACTGATATGGAAGTGGCCATGCCGACGAGCTCAGAGAACGCAGGCTTGTCCGGAACCCGAGCCGATGCAAGACCGTCAACTCTGATGCAGCAAAATGGGTATGCGACAGGTACATACAATACTACGACAGTGGCTGGTAACAAGGAATCCAGAAGGAGCCCCGCGACAAAAAATCGCGACGCGTCCACCTTGGACCTCGAAGAAGGCGAGGCATCCTCAACTGGGTCACACATATCGGCCAGGGAATCTGAGTCACGTATGTCGCTTGGGCTCACGTTTGCTAGGTGGATTCACTAATTTTGCGCAGCGTATGATCCTCCAGGTTCTGTCAATCCTGAGCCATTTGTGTCGAACGGTGCTCCCGTCGCTTCACCCCACGAAGATAGACCTTTCGCACTTACAAGAGACGTGTCAGCATCGCACGGAAGCAGGAAATCAGTGGCACAGCTTCGAATTCAAGCACAAGGCGCGCTTCTACGCTTAGCGCCCCACAACATTCGTTACAGTGAGCTGGTAGGAGAGGGGATCAACCCGGCTGTGCTTAGGCAGCTCTATGAGGAAGTTGGAATCAGAGTCCCTACACCACAACTAGACGGTGTATCTCCAACTATCAATCCGCCTACCAAGCCTGTTGACGTGCCAGTAAAACCGGCTGCTGCTGTTCTTGACTCGAGTTCGAGCAGCAATGTTGAAAATGGACCTGCCTCTGTGACCTTTGATCACTCTAAACGAGAAACCGAAATCCAAGTGGCAGCAGCGGCGGCGGCAGACACGCCTGCCCCTGTTTCTACCTCTACCACCCAGCCCAGCACCATTGCCAAACCGTTAGAAAGAAAAGAGGTCATTGCGCGTATGCTTGCTGCAAAAGCTGCCAAGGCTTCCGGAACGCCCTCAACCCCCCAAACTGACTCTGCAAAAGAAGCGCAACCATCTGAAAGCCCGGTGTCTGCCCTCGTTGGGAAAGGCGCGCCTGCGAGTTCTGGGCATGAAATCCCTTCTAAAGACAAGGACATACGCACAAGAGAGAAGAATAAGGCGAAAACCGAACTAGCCCGACAGCGAATCGAGCAGCTCAAGAAGCAGGGTTTGGTGAGAAGTCAGCAAAAAGCGCAAATAGATTCTTTGCGTCATGAAGAGATACCGCAAAGCAACGGAAGCAGTCCCGCCCCAGTGTCTCAAGCATCCCACACCCCGATGATTCAACATCCATTACCTGATAGACCTCCCGACCCAGAGTCCACTGCTCCCTCGCGTATTCCTGGGCTGTTCATGACAGAGTCATCAGAGCCGTCTGTTACACGCGTTCGTGGCTTGGTTGTTGATTCGACGCCACAGCCCCATGTCAATCAGCGCAAGCGTCCAAGAGCATCTGATTTCGACGAGCCTTCATTTACACCGAAGAGGTCCCATAACGGAGTAAATTACAACGCTTCAGAGGGTAGACTGATCATTGATATCAGTGATGATGAGTTTTATGGGGATGACGAGAACGAGGAAATGGAGATCGAGCCCGCCGGGAAGACATCGCTGGAAGGCGGCTCAGTAAGTCCCGAAGGTTTGTCCGGAACAGTTCCTTCATTGGCCGACCTTCTTCCTCAACGGCCGACTGCGTCAAGTCAAGGAATTTCCGCCTCTGCTACACCCCAAAGTCACAGAAATCATGATCAAGAAGACCTCCGGAAGAAGGATCTCGAAATACAGGCAATGCGTCGGCGAATCGCTGAACTTGAGCAACGGAAAAAAGCGAAGCTAGCAGCGAGTCGCACACAATCGCCTCGTCCTTCAGAAATAGCGGTTTCATCTCCTGCAATCAACCCAGCTTCAGTTGATCAAGGACATCAAACTACCATTGTCATCTCGGAGCCTGTGGCTCATAAATTACCTCCTCAAGTGGCTCTCTTGGAAGCTGCTACCGAAGCCATTTTTTCAGTTCCGGCAAATATTTCAGATAACCCCGAGAATCTTTCGTCGGAATCAATCGCGCGGATCTCGGCCCTCAAGGACGACGCCGACTACCTCGAGGAGATGCGCTCTAAATTGTTGCGTAAGAAGGAAATTGAATCAGGTGTTCCCGCTCTGGATGCCGAGATTCAAAAGTCTGAAGCCCGGCTTGCTGAAGTCAAAGTAGAAGAACAAAACCTCCTCCGTGATATTGCCAAGGGGAAGGAAGGGAGACAACAACTTCTAGAGGAGCTGCATAGTCTCAACTTGGAGTTGAATGGCCTCACTCTAGAAGAGCTGGAAATAGCTGAACGTACGTTGGATGCAAAGGAACAAGTCCAAGCATCAGATGCAGGTACGTTTAATCTGCTGTCCCTGATTCCGTCCTGCATTCTTGTTATTGCGGACTTTGGACGGATACTGCTGTGAAAGTTGGAGCTTACATGACGCATAAATCTCGTTACAGGTTCAACAGATCGTCAAAGCTCTGCGGCAAGGCATGGTTCCGCGATGCCAGACGTCCCGGCTGCCGAGGCGCGTAGTCAAGGTGCGGCATGTCCGGCCCAAGGTTCTCCGGTTTCCCGTCTAGCATTTGAGGCGGGACCCGCTGCTATTTCAGATCTTTCTATGGATGCGGACGAGTCTGGCGATGCTGTGGACCCTGCAAGCGATGCAGCCTCTTCTTCCCCATCAGAATCTCTAGGCTCCGCGATGGATGAGTCCGCTGATTCCAGTGAAGACTCTGTGGAAGCTGATAGCGAAGAGCCCATGGAATGCGAAACACCCACGCCGGAACCTAGTGTGCATGAAGCTTTGAGCGGCATCCCAGCCACAGATCGGAAGACTGTGGAGGACGAGATAACTCCTGACCAGACTCTTCCGGAACGGCAGCGGACTCCGCATGCTCCTGATGCAGGGAATACAGGGGATGTATTACCCCCCAATGCGGATGAAGTTCAAGAACTCGAAAAGCAAGTTTCTCGCGGATCTTCCATCTCCGACGCATACGAGCCACCAGAGCCCGAAGCGGATAGCAGCCCTGCCGATTCCGTCTATACTCCTCCTTTCAGCCCCGTTTCTCTTGCTTCCGTAAAATCTGCAGAGGTTTCTCGGGTCGAAGGAGCTGATATGCCGCTAATGGGAAAGGTTCAGGAACTGGAAGTTCAACCAGAAGCCAGCTCCCCGCATGGGCTCTCGAATGTGCGGACTATCTCTTATTCGGGGAGGAGCACTGCTGACGGCTTTGTAGAATGGACCCCAGGAGAAAGCTCCCAGATTCACACCCTACATTAGCCCATTGAGATGGTTCAAGGCTTACCGCTACCACCCTAGATTCACTGAAAATGTCTCGGGCGGCTTTCGATCCCTAACATATAGTCATAACATCGATTCCGAAAAATATCTCTGTCCCTACGAGGCTACTGGCGGTGTCTGCAATGACCGGTCATGCGACCTCCAGCATTTTCGTGACATGACTCTTAGCGGTGCGTCGACATATTTAGACAGAAGCATTGCAGCATTCCTCATGTCATAATCCGATTCATGGCCTGGCCCCCAATCTTCCCCATCGTCCCCGGTTCTTCCTTTCCTGATTGCGTTTCGTTTCCCATCCTGATTTTTCACTCCTTCCGTTCTTTCATATTTTCTGCAGTTCCCGAACACAGCTCTAAGACATTGTCAGTTTGTTTCAAATGCGGTGAGGAGATGCTGACACACAGTGATGTTGATTTCGACAGATGACAAGATCCTTGTCCAGATGGGATCCCTTCGAGAGGGCAAAACGCCTGAAGAGAAGGACCAATATATCGCCGGGCTGAAAC